CCATGTTGACTAGGCTAGTCTCAAACTCCTGACCTCAGGTGATCCACCCGCTTGGCCTCCCAAAGTGCTGGAATTAACAGGCGCGAGCCTGGGTGTCCAGCCTCTATTTTTTTTTTTTTTTTTTTCTGAGACAGAGTCTTGCTCTTGTTGCCCAGGCTGGAGTGCGATGGCGCGATCTCCGCTCACGGCAACCTCCGCTTCCTGAGTTCAAGCGTTTCTCCTGCCCCAGCCTCCCAAGTAGCTGGGACTACAGGCGCACGCCACCATGCCCAGCTAATTTTTTGTATTTGTAGCAGAGACGGGGTTTCACTGTATTAACCAGGATGGTCTAGATCTCCTGATCTTGTGATGTTCACCCGCCTCAGCCTCCCAAAGTGCTGGGATTACAGGCGTGAGCCAGCCACCGCACCCGGTCACCCATGGGTTCTTGATATCACCTTTCCATCTTGTACCTTTTATTTCCCCTACAACCCCTCCCAAAGTGCTGGGATTACAGGCCTGAGCCACTGTGCCTGGCCAATTTTTTTTTTTTTTTTTTGAGACTGAGTCTCGCTCTGTTACCCAGGCTGGAGTGCAGTGGTGCAATCTTGGCTCACTGCAACCTCTGCCTCCCAGGTTCCAGTGATTCTCCTGTCTCAGCCCCCAGAGTAGCTGGGACTACAGGCATGCGCCACCACATCTGGCTAATTTTTGTATTTTTAATAGAAACAGAGTTTCACCATGTTGGACAGGCTGGTCTTGAACTCCTGACCTCAGATGATTCGCCCACCTTGGCCTCCCTAAGTGCTGGGATTACAGGCGTGAGCCACCCCGTCGGCCCTATAGTTATTATTTCTATTGCTTTTACCTTACTAAGACTAAATATTTAGCTTCTAATATACATGTGCTAGAAAACCCTATAGGTTTTGGTTAAATTCATTGTTATTGTATGTTATAAAATAGGGAATTGGGTGAAATAGATTAAAATCACACAAACTTCGGGAGTCAAGTTTTTCTGGGCAGGCTTAGAAAACACAGAAATGGAAATACTCCAGTGACACAGAGATCAGAACTCTACCTAGGGCCCTTTTCCTGCCCCAGCCTTACCTACTTTTAGCCTCTTCTGAGGCCTCATCCAGGTCTGGCTCCACCCTGGAATCTCCACACAGAATTGATTAAAGGAAATCAGAGTTTGATACCTGCTGCCTCTCCAGAGCAGGTGCTCACAATTTCCCCAAACCTCAAAGCAGATAAATGGAAGCAAGGAACTAAATATTTTTGGACCTTAATTTTTTTTTTTTTTTAAAGACAGGGTTTCACCATGTTGTTCAGGCTGGTCTTGAACTCCCAACCTCAGGTGATCCGCCCACCTTGGCCTCCAAAGTGTTTGGATTACAGGTGTGAGTCACTGCGCCTGGCCGGGCCTTAATTTTTATAAAATTAAAACCAGTGCTTCTAGAAGCATACACCCTAGCAACCCATTTTCTCCTGAGTAGCTTGGGATTACAGGTGCATGCCATCATGCCTGGCTAATTTTTTTGTATTTTTAGTAGAGATGGGGTTTCACCATGTTGGTCAGGCTGATCTTGAACTCCTCACCTCATGATCCGCCCGCCGCCACTGTGCCTGGTCTTTTTTTGTTTTGTTTTGAGATAGGGTCTCACTCTATTGCCCAGGCTGGAGTGTAGTGGTGTGATCTCTACTCACTGCAATCTTCACCTCCTGGGTTCGAGCAATTCTCTCACCTCAGCCTCCCGAGTAGCTGGAGTTACAGGTATATGCCACCACACCTGGCTAATTTTTGTATTTTTATTAGAGATGGGGTTTCATGATGTTGACCAGGCTGGTCTAAAACTCCTGACCTCAAGTGATCCACCTGAGGTCAGGAGTTCGAGATCAGCCTGGCCAACATGGTGAAACCTGTCTCTACTAAAAATACGAGAAATTAGCCAGACATGGTGGCATGCACCTGTAGTCCTGGCTACTTGGAAGCTGAGGCAGGGCAATTGTTTGAACCTGGGAGACAGAGCTTGCAGTCAGTGGAGATCGCACCACTGTGCTCCAACCTGGGTGACATAGTGAGACTCTGTCTTAAAAAAAACAAAAAAGGGTTCTTTTTGTGACTGGGCACAGTGGCTCATGCCTGTAATCCCAGCACTTTGGGAGGCTGTAGTGGGAGGATCACTTGAGGCCAGGAGTTGAGACCAGCCTGGGCAACATGATGAAACCCTGTTATCTACTAAAACTCCAGAAAATTAGGCAGGCGTCGTGGCACGTGCCTGTGGTCTCAGCTACTTGGAAGGCTGAGGGAGGATTGCTTCAACCCAAGAGGCGAGGTTGCAGTGAGCCATGATCACACTACTGCATTCCAGCCTGGGTGATAGAGCGAGACTGTCTCAGAATAATACTAATAAAGTTATTTTGCGTCAGATCAATGTAGAAAGGTGTAGATACCTAAGATCTCTATTAGGGATGGTCTAGGATCCTCAGATATTAGTGAAGAAGGGAAATGTTTACTGTTTAGGTTCCATTAGGATGTTCCATCAGCTCTATGCAGAAACAGGATTTTTAAAATGGACATTTAAAGAGGATGGCACTGATTTCCCAGAATAACTCAAAAGGTTCTGGGAAAGAGAATAGTTAGATGAGACTTGCTCTCTAAAATGCTGAGGAGAGACTATTTAAATACATTGTTAGAGGTTATCAAACCTGGCAGATATCTGTAGCTTGAACTTTGCATAAAGTGTTTCTTTATGCTTAGATTCAGGTTATAATTGACTTTTTGTTGCCAGTAATATTATAGCTCTGATGATGTGTCCGCCCATGTGTGTTGACACCTGACATCAATTTGTGCTAGTGTAGTTCATGTTAATTTCAATCACTTGGTTAAGGTTCTCTGTGACAGATTTTAATTATAAAGTTAATTATTTTTATCTTTATTATTCATAAGTACCTTGGGAGATTTACCGATTGATGTACATAAAGCATCACATTTAATCTGCAAGCTTCCTCTTTCTTTTTAGATTCTCTTTGCTTAAAGCTTGCTTTGGAAAATGAGGGCTCATCTTTGTTTATTAGTCAGATAAACTGGGGTAAACACAGGCTCACCCACTTACTCTATGTTTGATAAATATACTCTTGATTTAGATGCACTGGTATCACTGGCTAGCTTTTCAGAAATTCAGAAACTCGAGCTTCACCTGAGATCACCTGAATCAGACTGCATTTTAGCAAGATCTGTAGTTCATTGTTATAGACATTAAAATTTGTGAGGTACCTTCTGACTCGTCATGATTTCTCTGTATGAGTAATATTTACAACTTAATTCCATAATCTGTAGACATAAAACTCAAACTGTATATGCCTGTGCTAATGCCCTTAATTTTTTTTTCTGTTTGATTGGCAGGCTGTATTTTTTCTGATACTTCACAATAAATGGTTGTAGATTAATGCCCACAGGTCTCATCCTCTCCTCTCTCTTCCATAGAGTGCCATAGGGATCCAGGCATCTCCATCTGTGAGCCTCCAGGGTCTCCGCAGAAGAGGAAGGCTCCATGCACATTACCTTGGCTAGAGTCAGTCTTGTGTCCACAGCCTAGTGCAAGGGAGGCTGGGAGGTGTGGTTTCACCATACTGGGGAAGCAGGAAATGAGAAGTGAAGGGGACCCGTTTCTAACATTTTTAAAATAAAAAAATGCATCTCTGCATACCTCCTGGGCCACAGGTGGGAAAGGCTGGCTTTGCAGAGAGGCCAGCATGCAGTGCTGGGTGACCTTGGGCACTGCACGCTGGGCACAGACTTACCCACCCTGAGCTCAGGTCTTTGCTACCCATGTGGGGAGGCTCACTGGAGTTCGAGCTGTGATTCAGTGCACAGCCCACCCAGCACCTGGCCCAGGGCAGAGCCCACTGTGAGCTCGTTCCACCCCTACCCCTGCATACCGTCTTGCAGATACCAAGGGCATGGCCTTGCCAGGTACCCTCTCTCAATTCCTTTATAAAAGGTGAGGGCTGGCTGAGTGACTGTTTCCAACCCGACACCCATAAAGCGAATAAACGGGCAGACACGAGTAAGTGACTTTCTGAAGGACACAGCCAGCTTGTTGTGGGTCCTGTTTGGGGCAGTGGCATCCCTGGGGGCCACAGGCCATGGGCCTCAGCACCTTCCAGCCTTCGAGCTGGCTGCCACAGCTCACCCACTGTGGAGCCCATCAAGGTGCTTCAGGGAAGACAGGGACGGCCAGGGACAGCTCCAGGTGGGGAGAGGCCACAGGAGTGTTCTTCAGAAGACAGGTCTGGGCTAATGGGGAGCAACCAGGAAGCAGGCTGTCTGTCATCACTGTAGTCTTCACCCTGGTCTCATGCCTGGGCTCCTCCTCTCCTGGCCAGTGATGGGGATTAGGCAGGAAGACATGCACCTCAAATTCTTCTCAAACTGCCTGTTAGGGATGATATCTAGAGTGATACCCTTAATTTTATACTGCGTTATTTAGAAAAGTATCTACACTGGTTTTGTGGTTCTGTTTTCTTTTCTTTCTTTTTTTTTTTTTTTTCCTTTGGAGAGAGGGTTTCACTCTGTCACCCAGGCAGGAGAGCAGTGACATGATGTCAGCTCACCGCAACCTTCGCTTTTGGAGTTCAAGCGATTCTCCTGCCTCAGCCTCCTAAGTAACTGGGATTGTAGGTGTGTACCACCATGCCCGGCTAATTTTTGTATTTTCAGTAGAGACAGGGTTTCATCATGTTGGCCAGGCTGGTCTGGAATTCCTAACCTCTGCCTGCCTTGGCCTCCCAAAGTGTTGGGATTACAGGCGTTAGCCACAGCTCTCCGCCACGTAGATTCTATTTTCTTTCCTCAGTGTTAGAGAATACATCAGAGAACATTTCTGTTAAAAATATCTTATTGGAGAAATTCTAGTAACTCATATAAGTCACAGCAACTCTCTCTGTTCACATGGAGTCAAGTTAAGAGCTCTCCTGCCTGTTGACAGTTGGTCAATATATTTTGTTTTATTTTTCAGGAACTGTTGACATTCAGGGATGTGACCATAGAATTCTCTCTGGAGGAGTGGGAGTTTCTGAACCCCGCTCAGCAGAATTTATATAGGAATGTGATGCTGGAGAACTACAGGAACCTGGTCTCTCTGGGTGAGAATGACTTCAATACAGAATTCCTATTTAACACTAAAGCTTTTATTTTCTTCCTCTGTAGAGTGTTTGGTGGGGGTTTCTGCTTTGTATAAATGAGTTTTAGATCTGTGCTTTAAAGGAAAACTTAGGGATTTGCTGGCATGGAGAAGAAAATCTTCAAGATGCTTTATGTTTACATTAACTTTCTTCTGCCTTGAAGTGATGGGCATTTTTCACCCTAGAGGTAGTTCTATTTTTAAATTATTTTTATTTATTTATTTATTTATTTATTTATTTATTTATTTTGAGACGGAGTTTCGCTTTTCTCACCCGGGCTGGAGTGCAATGGTGCGATCTCGGCTCACGGCAACCTCCGCCTCCTGGGTTCAGGCAATTCTCCTACCTCAGCCTCCTGAGTAGCTGGGATTACAGGCACATGCCACCATGCCCAGCTAATTTTTTATATTTTTAGTAGAGACGGGGTTTCACCATGTTGACCAGGATGGTCTCGATCTCTTGACCTCGTGATCCACCCGCCTCAGCCTCCCAAAGTGCTGGGATTACAGGCTTGAGCCACCGCGCCCGGCCTTTTATTTTTATTTTTGGTCATCCAAACAGACCACAATTTTTTATTTTTATTTGTGAGACAAACTCTAGCTTTGTTGCCCAGGCTGGAGTGCAGTGGTGCAGTCCGGCTCACTGCAACCTCTGTCTTCTGGGTCCGAGCAATTTTTCTGTCTCAGCCTCCCAAGTAGCTGAGACTACAGGTGCCCACCACCACGCCTGGCTAATTTATGTAATTTTAGTAATGATGAGGTTTCACCATGTCGGCCAGGCTGGTCTCAAATTCCTGACCTCAGGGGATCCACCCATGTTGGCCTCCCAAAGTGCTGGGATTACAGGTGTGAACCGCCGTGCCCAGCCTTTAATGGTAATTGTTGGAATTTCATGGTATAAAATATTATTGACTAGACCTTAAAATACAAGCTCTACCATCTAGTTTTTATTAGTATTGGGTAGGGAAGCTAAATACCCCAAAATATAAGATATTCTAAACTTTCTGTTTAGAAATATTATTTTATTATTAGTTTTCTTTTTTCTTTTTCTTTTTTTTGAGACAAAGTCTCGCTCTGTTGCCAGGCTGTAGTACATTGGCACGATCTTGGTTCACTGCATTCTCCGCCTCCTGGGTTCAAGCTGTTCTCCTGCCTCAGCCTCTCAAGTAGCTGGGATTATAGACCCAGGCCACCATACCCAGCTAATTTTTGTATTTTTAGTACAGACAGAGTTTTACCATGTTGGCCAGGATGGTCTCGATCTCCTGACCTCATAATCTGCCTGCCTCAGCCTCCCAAAGTGCTGGGATTACAGGCATGAGCCCCTGCACCTGGCCTTGTTATTAATGTTGTAGAATCATCTATAATATTCTCTCTTCTCTACAAAGCACAGTACCTGGTTGGTAACTGGAGAATCCCAGCGAGAATCACGTTACTTTTTTCTAATAAAACAGGTCTTACCATTTCTAAGCCAGAACTGATTAGCTGTCTGGAGCAAAGACAAGAGCCCTGGAGTGTGAAGAGACATGAGACCGTAGCCAAACCCCCAGGTAGGCGGGATCAATGAAACACATGCCACAGGTGAAAGCTCCAAAGGTCAAGGAGGAGGCCAAACCGTAAAGGTTCTTTGAGAAGCTCTGCTCCAGTGAAGATGTCTTGAGGAGCCTGGTTATTTCTTGCTCTCACATAGAGGCATCTTTTGTCTCATGCTCTTAAATTCTCTAAAACATTGTCTCCCTTTGAGGTTACAGTGAGAGCCAAAGTCCTCTTCAAGGCTTACAAAAGACTATTATCTGACTGCCCTTTGTCTTGCGGGGGGCACAGGAATATATGTGTACTTTTTAGGAACTCTGTGTTAAACTCTTTTTTGTTTTTTTGAGATGGAGTTTTGCTCTTGTTACCCAGGCCGGAGTGCAATGGTGTGATCTCAGCTCACCACAACCTCCACCTCCTGGGTTCAGGCAATTCTCCTGCCTCAGCCTCCTGAGTAGCTGGGATTACAGGCACGCACCACCATGCCCAGCTAATTTTTTGTATTTTGAGTAGAGACGGGGTTTCACCGTGTTGACCAGGATGGTCTCGATCTCTTGACCTCGTGATCCGCCTGCCTTGGCCTCCCCCAAAGTGCTGGGATTATAAGCGCGAGCCACCGCACCCGGCCAGAACTGTTTTTTAAGATTTTGTTTTGTTTGGTTTTGGTTGTTGTTTGGATTATATCTGAAATGTGTGGGAGTATTGGTGACAAAGGGATTTAGTTCCAAAATCCTAGGAATACTACAGACAGATGTGGTATGTTTTCTGCTTTATGGTTTCTCATGGAAGTTTCTTTCTTATTTTTTTCATTTTTTTTTTGAGACGGAGTTTTCCTCTGTCACCCAGGCTGGAGTGTGTGGCGCCATCTCGGCTCACTGCAACCTCTGCCTCCTGGGTTCAAGCGATTCTCCTGCCTCAGCCACCCAAGTAGCTGGGATTATAGGTGTGCACCACTAGGCCCAGCTAATTTTTGTATTTTTAGTAGAGATGGGGTTTCACCATGTTGGCCAGGTTGGTCTGGAACTCCTGACCTCAGGTGATCCACCTGCCTCAGTCTCCCAAAGGGCTGGGATTATAGGCATGAGCCACTGCACCCAGCCTCTTATGGAAGTTTCAAATGTGATTCTACAAAAATTCCTAATCAGTAATTTTATTATACTGCTAACCATCTCCGTAAATATAAGAAAATCTAATGTTGTTGTACTTTACATTTTATATTTTTAGTGTTAACTAAAATTGGTAATTTAAACTTTACTTGCCCAGATTCAACTCTATTTGTTGAGTTTTATATACATATACACACAAATACCCACACATATATGTGTGTGGACCGTGTGATTACTTTTCTTTTTTTTTTTTAATCTTCCAGATTTCTGGAAGGTTTCTGTGGGGAAGTCCACTGTTTCTTGGATAGAATTCATTTCTTAGGTAATAGGGCCCTTTTCTCTAGTTGCCTTTTATTTTCTCATTTCATGTTGACTCTGGAAAGTCTGATTACTATGTGCCTGGGGATGGTTGTCTTGTGCAGTATCTCACAGGAGTTCCTTGAATTTCTTGTATCTTTATGTCAACTTGCCCAGTAAAATGGGAATTTTTTTTTTTTTTTTGAGATGGAGTTTTGCTCTTGTTACCCAGGCTGGAGTGCAATGGCTCGACCTTGGCTCACCGCAACCTCCTCCTCCTGGGTTCAGGCAATTCTCCTGCCTCAGCCTCCTGAGTAGCTGGGACTACAGGCACATGCCACCATGCCCAGCTAATTCTTTGTATTTTTAGTAGAGATGGGGTTTCACCATGTTGACCAGGATGGTCTCGATCTCTTGACCTCGTGATCCACCTGCCTTGGCCTCCCAAAGTGCTGGGATCACAGGCGTGATCCACCACGCCAAGCCTTAAAATGGGAAAAATTTTCATAGATTATATCCTCAAGTATATTTTCCAAGTTGGTTACTTTTTTTCCTTCTGTCTCAGGAATACTAATGAGTTATAAGTTTGTTCCCTTTACATAATTCCAAATTTATCAGAAGCTTTGTTTGCAGTGAGTTTTTTTTTTTTTTTTTTTGAGATGGAGTTTTGCTGTTGTTACCCAGACTGGAGTGCAATGGCGCAATCCCAGCTCACTGCAACCACCGCCTCCTGGGTTCAAGCAATTCTCCTGCCTCAGCCTCCCAAGTAGCTGGGACTACAGGCGCGCACGACCATGCCCAGCTAATTCTTGTATTTTTAGTAGAGACAGGGTTTCATCTTGTTGACCAGGATGGTCTCGATCTCTTGACCTCGTGATCCGCCCGCCTTGGCCTCCCAAAGTACTGGGATTACAGGTGTGAGCCACTGTGCCCGGCCATGAGTTCTTTTTTCTTTACTGTCTTCTGACTGGGTTGATATAAAGGAGGAGTCTCTGTACAGTGAAATACTTTCATCTACTTAGTCTGTTGTTTATAAGGCTTTCAATTGTATTTTGAATTTTCCATTTTTAAAGTTGTGTTTGGTTCTTTCAAAGGAGCTAGTGAGATCCTTTTGAGATAATGAAACTCTCTGGCTTTCTGTATTGCCAGGGTTTTTTTTGCTTTCTTATATGAGGGAGCTAGTGCTTCTTTTCCTTTTGAATTATCTGTCATTTGGATGGGGCTTTAGAATTGGTTTAATTCTTTTTTTTCCTTGAAGGTTTGGCTGTGGTGTATGTTGTGTAAAATCTGTTGGTTTCATTTAACGGTGTTTTCAGAGGACAGAGGCTCTGTCTAGGTTCCTTGGTTGTAGACAAGTTCCTGCAGAGATTTCATGGAGTGCTTCATGTTGAAGCAATGCATTCTTGTCTGGTGCTGTAATTCAGGCTGCAGTCCAAGTAGATGGCACTTAAGAGTGCTCTGGGGAGGGAAGGTAGTGTGTGAGAGTTTATTTTCTCTCCAAATTTATTTTGGGGCCTTGGTGATATTCCCTTCAACTGCTGGCACTGTACCCCTTCCTTTGCTCCAAGGAGGGCTTTGGTGGTCTGTGCTCCCCCTCCCTTAGGAACAGTTCACACTCTGAGGTCACCAGGAAACCCGTATTTAGCAGGGGTCCTGCTCTTCTCCTTTGCTTGAAAGAGTAAGGGTAGGTTATGTATCTGTGAGTGGTTTGGTGATGCAGTGGCACAAGGATGGAAAATCCCCAGGCAGGGCAACTGCACCATGGTTTGCAACCAGGATTGCACCTGCAGCCCAGGATTTTTAGTCCAGCAGATGGCTGTGGGGCCCACCTAGCTTGTGGTCCCCCAACTCAGCAGGTCTCTCTCCAATGGGAGCAGGCTGAAATGGCTAGGCTTGTCCCAAGCCATCTGCATCCAAATTGCTGAGCTCTTACAGATGTTCTAGGCTGCTAGGCTTCCTGAGATAGAAGCCATGGCCACTCATCTGGCCTCACCCTTCCCAGTTTTTTCATGTGAATGAAGGGGAACTCAGCTCCCACGCTGGCTTATGATCCCATGCCACACTGTTCTCTGCGTGCTGACAGCGTGGGCTCCTACCCCACTTAAGCTCGGACTGCATGTCTCAGCTTGATATTATCTCGGCTTGATATTGTTAGGCAGTGTACTGACGACCTGGGCAGCTGGTACTAGGCACATGAATTTGTCCTCTGGCCCTTTGGGGTCAAGCACCAGCTGCAATGTTAAGTGGATGCTGTGCTGTGGGCACTCTCCTGCAGTACTAGCGAGGTAGGTCATCTTGGAAGGGGCCAGCAGGCAAGGTGGTACATGGATGAGATTCACCTCAGTCCTCCCCCTCAGCCTAGCAGATAGCAGGAGATGGATCCCCTCAGTGAAAGATGCAGAGCATTGGAGGATGGGCACCTATGGTCAGCTACAGCTGCACGGCACAGAGAAACCTTCAGATTTACACAGGAGTTTTAGCTGTACCTCTGCCTTCTTCAGGTTCTTCAGGTAGCTCCCCCTGCCAGTTCACAGATGTATAGGGATCATATGAGATCCTGTAATCAGGATCTCAGACTAGACATAGCTGGGAAATGCCTTTCAAGAAGAAGGAACCACAGTGGGAAGCTCAGAGGTCCATGGCTAGACCGTGTTGCCGTGGGGTTTCTTACCCCTTCGTTAGGTCTGGTCTGGATCTAGGAGCGCGCCCGGCCCATCTTCCTCTTTAACCACAGTGTCTGTGTTACCTCTGAATTAATTTTTCTCTCAAAAGATCTGTTTAAAGTGTGATATTTTACCCAACATTTTGTTTTCTCTCCTTGGAGTGAGTGTTTCCCAGCTGCATCTAGTAAGTCATCCTGTCCTTTTCCTAATTTTCTATGTTAGATTTGTAAAGTACATGTATCTGAGTCTGAAAATAAAAGTGGGATACGTTGTTAATTTTCTTTCTTTTAAATTGACCGTTTAAAACCGCAATTAACTTTGTTAATGTTCTATTTCAGCTATATCTTGTCATTACACTGAAGACTCTTTGACAGAACAGGGAGTGAAAGATTCATTCCAAAAAGTGATACTGAGAAGATATGGAAGCTGTGGCCTTGAGAATTTATACTTAGGGGAAGACTGGGAAAATGCAGGTCAGTGTAAGGATCACAAAGGAAGTTACAATGGGCTTAACCAGTGTTTGTCAACTCTACATAGCAAAATGTTCCTATATAATAAATGTGTGAAAGTCTTCAATAAATCATCAACTCGAAATAGACAAAGCATAAGACATACTACAGAGAAACTTTTCAAATGTATCGAATGTGGCAAAGTCTTTAAATCTCACTCAGGCCTTTCTTATCACAAGATAATTCATACTGAAGAGAAACTCTACATATGTGAGGAATGTGGAAAAACCTTTAAGTGGTTCTCATACCTTACTAAACATAAGAGAATTCACACTGGAGAGAAGCCCTACAAATGTGAAGAATGTGGCAAAGCTTTTAACTGGTGCTCAAGCCTCACTGAACATAAGAGAATCCATACTGGCGAGAAACCCTACAAATGTGAAGAATGCGGAAAAGCCTTTCACTGGTGTTCGCCCCTTATTAGACATAAGAAAATTCATACTGGAGAAAAACCCTATACATGTGAAGAATGCGGCAGAGCTTTTAACCGGCATTCACATCTCACTAAACATAAGACAGTTCACACTGGAAAGAAACCCTACAAATGTAAAGAATGCGGGAAAACTTTTAACCACTGCTCACTACTTACTATACACAACAGAACTCATACTGGAGAGAAACCCTACAAATGTGAAGAATGTGGCAAAGCTTTTAACTCATCATCAATTCTTACTGAACATAAGGTAATTCATAGTGGAGAAAAACCTTACAAGTGTGAAAAATGTGACAAAGTCTTTAAGAGGTTCTCATACCTTACTAAACACAAGAGAATTCACACTGGAGAGAAGCCCTTCAAATGTGAAGAATGTGGCAAAGCTTTTAACTGGTCCTCAATCCTTACTGAACATAAGAGAATCCATACTGGAGAGAAACCCTACAACTGTGAAGAATGTGGGAAGGCCTTTAATCGGTGCTCACACCTTACTAGACATAAGAAAGTTCATACTGCAGTCAAACACTATAAATGCGAAGAATGTGGCAAAACTTTCAAACGATGCTCACATCTTAATGAACATAAGAGAATTCAAAGAGGAGAGAAATCCTGCAAGCGTAAAAAATGTGGGGAAGCACTTAATCACTGCTCAAACCTTACTACATAAGAATTGTTACTTTTTTTTTTGAGACGTAGTTTCGCTCGTTACCCAGACTGGAGTGCAATGGCGCGATCTCGGCTCACCGCAACCTCCGCCTTCTGGGTTCAAGCAATTCTCCTGCCTCAGCCTCCCAAGTAGCTGGGACTACAGGCGTGCACCACCATGCCCAGCTAATTTTTGTATTTTTAGTAGAGACAGGGTTTCACCTTGTTGACCAGGATGATCTCTATCTCTTGACCTCATGATCCACCCGCCTCGGCCTCCCAAAGTGCTGGGATTATAGGCGTGAGCCATCGCGCCCGGCCTAGGAATTGTTACTAACGAGAAATCCTACCAGTGTAAAAAATGTGTGGTAAAGTCCTTAAATCTTGCTCAAGCCATTCAAATCAGAAGGTAATTTATACTGGGGAGAAACACTACAAATGTGAAGAATGTGGGAAAGTCTTTGTCCATTGCTCACACCTTATTGCACATGAGAAAATTCATGCTGAGAATAGTTCTGATTTTAAAGAATGTGGCAAAGCATTTAACAACTGCTATGAGCTTAGTCATAGAGGTTTTGTGCTAGATACGAGCAATGTAAGTATAGTGATACACATTACCTTTGTCTGTGGAAAGATGTCACCAAATAAAAGCCTTAGAGGGCGCCAGGTGTAATGATAGTGATACGTCCCATCTGTACGTGGGAAGACTTCAAACATATAAGCCTTAGAGTACGCAAGCGTTTCTATACTGAAGAAAAACATTACAAATATAGAGTGGTGCGATATGTTTACGTATGTTACACATTTTGTTGTACATAGAATTTATGCTGAAGGGGAACCCTCTAACAGTTGCTCAAATTTTATTCAATTTTAGAGAATTTATATTGGAAAGAAACCCTACAACTGTAATGAATATGAAAATAAATTATTGAAAAAATACACCTTAGAAAACAGTAGTTTACATGAAAATATTTGGCCGGGCGAGGTGGCTTACGCCTATAATCCCAGCACTTTGGGAGGCCAAGGCGGGTGGATCACGAGGTCAAGAGATCAAGACCATCCTGGTGAAAACCCCGTCTCTACTAAAAATACAAAAAATTAGCTGGACATGGTGGCGCGTGCCTGTAATCCCAGCTACTCAGGAGGCTGAGGCAGGAGAATTGCCTGAACCCAGGAGGCGGAGGTTGCGGTGAGCCGAGATCGCGCCATTGCACTCCAGCCTGGGTAACAAGAGAGAAACTCCGTCTCAAAACAAAACAAAACAAAACAAAACAAATACAAAAATTAGCTGGGCAGGGTGGCTCACACCTGTAGTCCCAGCTACTCGGGATGCTGAGGCAGGAGAATTGCTTGAACCCAGGAGGTGGAGATTGTGGTGAGCCGAAATCACGCCACTGCTCTCCAGCCTGGGTAACAAGAGCGAAACTCCATCTCAAAAAAAAAAAAAAATGTTTAACAGATGCAGCAAACATAAAAAATTAATCAAAAATCAAGTCTAAATGAACATCAGAGGATTCATAGTAGAAACCACTAAAACACTAACACTTTCAATGTTATTTTAAATCAGGGTATTGATTATAAGGAATAATTCAAAGTTAACATAATTTAGGCTAAAAAGAAACAGGAGATTAATATTTCGAGACTTGCAATTATATTCAAAGTGGACTGTTTTTGCATTGAAAGAATTTTAGATTTTTACAAAGGCAAATTTTGATGTAATTCAACTCTCAAGTTACTCATTGCTGTGTCTATTCCTTGTGTCTATATGAAAGCATGTGGTCAATTTTTGCTGCTGAGAGCTTTGAGAGATTCTATATTAGGAGAACGTCATATATACTTTTCAATAGAAGATCGAGGACACTGAAATGTAAGGTGTGTGAAGAAAATCCACACAGAGGCCTTTGTGGTTGACATAAAACTGTTGTAAGTGATGCATGAGATGGATGGTTCAGAGTAATATTCTTGTGCATTATTCAAATTTTAATACATTGTTTTACCGATTGCACATTAAGATAATCAAATATAGTGGATTTTGTGATGCTTTTCTTAGACTGTGTGAACCTAATTTGTTTTCATCAAACAAAGTTGTTTTTAACATGTTAAGACAGTTGTGCGTTGAATCCTGCCACTAGTGTTAGCCTATTTTACCTTACTCAAGTGTCTAGGTAACAGACGGTACCAACACACTATTCAGTTATATAGTGGAATGGCATCTTTAGTAATTCTTATCCTTACTGGCTTTAAACTTCAAATATATTGGAGAATATTGTTTTCATAGGTTACATTTTTATTATTTTTCTTCTAACTATAGAGCCATTAAGATGGTTATTATGAAAATTACACAGGCATAGAATCAAAAACCATATATTTCTGAATCTTAAATGGCTATTTAGAAAATGTTAGCTTACATGTTTTCTTTGAACATGCAACCTCTGTGGCCTTCCAGACACACATAGACTCTAAGTTTTTACTTACATGGAAATTTAACATACAAATATGTTACTCTAAAGTGTAAGAGAATTATGAGGCAAGTAATTGTATTTGAATGTTGATGTGTACCTATTTTGAGAAGAAAGAAAATGTTAGAACAAACTGATAATTTTTTTTTTTTTGAGACAGAGTTTTGCTCTTGTTACCCAGGCTGGAGTGCAATGGTGCGGTCTTGGCTCACCGCAACCTCGGCCTCCTGGGTTCAGGCAGTTCTCCTGCCTCAGCCTCCTGAGTAGCTGGGATTACAGGCACACACCACCATGCCCAGCTAATTTTTTGTATTTTTAGTAGAGACGGGGTTTCACCATGTTGAGCAGGATGGTCTGGATCTCTTGACCTCGTGATTCACCCGCCTCGGCCTCCCAAAGTGCTGGGATTACAGGCATGAGCCACCGCGCCCGGCCCTAAACCGATAATTTTTAAAATGTTGATAACTTACTACCAAACTAGTAACCTCAAAATTTCAAAGCAAATCTGTTTTTCTCCTTTGTATTGAATTCATTTTTCCAAAATCTTATGGTTCCTAGTTCCGAATCCTCTTATGTATGTCCTGTTTCTACTTACCTGGAATTCATGGTAGACCTAATGCATAATTTTCATGTTCCAAAGTTTATAAAGTATCCTTTATATAACCTACTCCAGAATTTTTTGAATAATTTTGACAAATTTTAATGTGCTCGCAAAGTAATTTGAAGGTGTAATTCCATAGTAAGTTTCGTACACATTTTTTCTTCCAGTTGGAGAACTCTAAGCCGATTTTTCCTTTGTCGTTGTTCTTTTAATTTTTATAATTGACGTCATTGAGTTTATTGACTTACTGGGTTAATTTATTTAGATGAACACCAGGGGGTGACATCAGTCATGGTCCTGTTTGTTTTTTTTCTAACTCCTATGTCTCTACATCAGACATGGTGTTGTTTAGACATAAATGAAGGGGACAAACACAGAAAAGCGCTAGATGTGTAACACACTCCATAATTAGAACACTGGTTCCAGTTGGGGTGAGTTGGTGACTGCAGGAGATTAAAATTATTCAGGTGAAAAAATGACATTGATTCTGCATGTTTGGAGGGGCATTTGTACCTAGGCTACACAGCTGACTCTAATTTTAGAGAAACTGTGCTTCTTTCATTATTATTATTATTATTTTTTTTTTTTTGAGATGGAGTCTCGTTCTGTCATCCAGGCTGGAGTGCAGTGGCACAATCTTGGCTCACTGCAGCCTCTGCCTCTGGGTTTAAGTGATTCTCCTGCCCAGCCTCCCGAGTAGCTGGGACCACAGGGGTGACCACCACACCTGCTAATTTTTGTATTTTTAGTAAAGATGGGGTTTTACCATATTGGCCAAGCTGGTCTTGAATTCATGACCTCGTGATCCACCTGCCGCAGACTCCCAAAGTGCTGGGATTACAGGCGGCTGGTGTGCTGCAGCTCTGCAATCCTTTCTTTTCTTTCCCTTTCTTTCTTTTTCTTCCTTTCTTTCCTTCCTTCTTTCTCTCTCCTTCCTTTCCTTTCTTTCTTCTCTCTCTCCCTCTCTTTCTCTCTCCGTCTTTCTTCTCTCTCTCCCTCTTTCTCTCTTTCCGTCTTTCTTCTCTCTCTCTCTCTCCCTCTTTCTCTCTTTCCGTCTTGCTCTCTCGCCAGGCTGGAGTGTAGTGGCACAATTTCAGCTCCCTGCAACCTCCACCTCCCAGGTATAAGCTCTTCTCCTGCCTCAGCCCTCTGAGTGGCTGGGACTACAGGTGCAAGCCACCACACCCAGAGAATCGTTGTATGTTTAGTAGAGACGGGGTTTCACCATGTGTGCCAGGAATGTCTGGACCTCTTGACCTCGTGATCCTCCAGCCTTGGTCTCACAAAGTGCTGGGATTACTGGTGTGAGCCACCACACCCAGTGCTGCTGCTCTTTCAAAAAGGGCTTCCTCCCTGAGCTGAGCCAGACCCACCCCACAGGATGGGAAAATTCTTTCTTTTTTACTCTATTTTTGAATGTATTCAATAGGTGAACAGAAGTATTTTGCTGTCATATTAATGATACATAAAATTTTTGTTCAAGAGAAAATCAATGTTTAATTTGGTAATAGTGTATTATCAGTACTAAAGCTAATTTTAATAAAATCTTGTGAATCAGTCATTTTTGACCTCTTGATCTTTACACAAATAGTACTCTTGTAATTTTTTTAACATTTATTTTTATTTTTATTTATTTATTTTTAAAGACGGAGTTTCACCATGTTGGTCAGGCTGGTTTTGAACTCCCCACCTCAGGTGATCTGCCTGCCTTGGCCTCCAAAGTGCTTGGATTACAGGCATGAGCCACCATGCCCGGCCACTTTTTTATTTTTATTTTTTTAACTTTTTTTTTTTTTTTGGAGATGGAGTTTCTCTCTTGTTGCCCATGCTGGAGTACAATGGTGTGATCTCAGCTCACCGCAACCTCTGCCTCCCAGGTTCAAGTGATTCTCCTGCCACAGCCTCCCAAGTAGCTGGGACTATAGGCATGTACTACCATGCCCGGCTAATTGTATTTTCAGTAGAGATGGGATTTCTCCATTTTGGTCAGCTGGTCTCAAACTCCCGACCTAAGATGGCCCACCCATCTCAGCCTACCAAAGTACAGGGATTACAGACGGAAGCCAAGACACCCAGGCTAGCTTTTTATATCATATTTTTATCTACATTCTTCGAATTTTTTCAATTTGAAAGAACATTTAAGTAATTCAAACCATTAGAGGAGATAGAAAGAAAATCATTTAGAGCCAGGCGTAGTGGCTCACACCTGTAATCCCAGCACTTTGGAAGGTCAAGGTGAGCAGATAACTTGAGGTCAGGAGTTCAAGACCAGCGTGGCCAACATGGTAAAACCCGATCTCTAATCAAAATACAAAAAATTAGCTGGGTGTGGTGGTGCACAACTGTAGTCCCAGCTACTCTGTGGGCTGAGGTAGGAGAATCGCTTGAACCCGGGAGGTGGAGGTTGTGTATCGGCCTACGGGGTTCACCTTGCCCTGTGCTTAGACCAAACTGATTCATCCAGACAGGGTCATTTGTGGCGGAAAAGTTAAATATTCAATTTGAACTCAATTGAATGTGGACACAATGTTCAAATCCTGGAACAGTTTGTGTGAGTCCCTTGCATTCATCCAGGACAGTGTGGGAGAAATTTCTATTTCAATCTATTCCTCTACATTAGTTGTTGCAAAAAAATAGACAATCCCCAAAACAAGTTGACCATTTTGTGTTCCTTAAGGCCAGTTGCAAAGGGCACTCGTGACTGGGCTGTATGCCAAAATTCATTCAAAAAGAGCGAGGGTCCCAGGTCGCGCTGAAGCTTCATGAGACCTCCTAGTCTGCAGGGATGAGTGTCCACCTCTGGAGGCCAGGCTGTTGCTTCCCACTCTGGTGGCGAATTCTTCACAGTCTCATGAGCATACATATATAACTGTGTTTCTCTTTTTCTTTTCTCCTCTTTTTATTGCAATTTGCTTATTGTATCAATCTGCTTATTATGTTGATTTGCTTATATCATTTATTATATGTGCATTGCCAGTTACATGGGATAAAGCTTGTTTATCCTTAAAGGTACTGTGTGTGTGTCTTCTCGCCTCAAGCGTGTCCTGTACAGAACACTTGACATCAAAAACATAATTCAAAACCAAAATAGTGCCTCTTTTTGGCCACAAGGACAGGGTTGGAAACTCTGGGACTTTACATATTTCAGGACAGTAACTCTCCCAGTTCTTCCCTTAGTGACTGAATGGTCCAGGGCAACTGACTTTGTGAGAACTGAGAATCTAAATTAGTGCAAATTTAAACCTTTGACTGTATGTGAAGTGCTGCAGGGGATTCCAGTCAGCAAAGCAGATGCTGAGGGATCTCCCAGAGTGGATGGCGTTTGTTTACTGCTTGTAAGTTAAGGTGTCAAAAAAGGGGCTGGTTGCTGCCAGAGAAATGTAAGCTAAAAAAGGAAAATGCTAATCTCCTTCCAGACTAGCCCTGGCCCAATGCCAGGCCTATGTCATGACTGATCAAGCCTAAAGCTGTCAGCCTATTGCTGAAAAAAGCAGCTATCCAAGTGGCCCAGTCAGGGTGAAACTGAGTAACTAGTCAACAGGGGCTTGGAGCAGGTAAAAACTCACTTCCTATTGTTTTTTTTTTGAGATGGAGTCTCGCTCTGTCACCCAGTCTGGAGTGAAGTGGCATGATCTTGGCTCATTGCAACCACTACTTCCTGGATTCAAGCCATTCTCTGCCCCAGCCTCCTGAGTAGCTAGGATTACAGGTGCCCACCACCACTCCTGACTAATTTTTTGTGTTTTTAGTAGAGACGGGGTTTCACCATCTTGGTCAGGCTGGTCTTGAACTCCTGACATCATGATCCACCCTCCTCGGCCTCTCAAAGTGCTGGGATTACAGGCATGAGCCACTGCACCCGGCCACCCCCCAGCTCCTATCTTAAGGATGGGAAATTAACCTTAGTAAAATTCAAAGACCTGCACAAACTGTAAAATTTCTTGGCATCTTCTGGAATGCAGAGAAATAGTCCATTTTACTGAAGGCTAAGGCTAACATACTAGAACTTGCAACCCCCACACTAAAAAGGAGGCCCAGAAAAGTATTGGCTTGTTTGGATTCTGGAGACGTCATATTCCTCACTTGGGTAACATTTTACACCCTCTGCATGCAGTCACTAGAAAACACTGTGACTTTCACTGGGAGAGAAAGAGAGCATGGCTTCTGAACAAGCTGAACAAGCGGTGTAACTGGCCCTGGATCTAGGGCCCATGCGGAATGGGCAGTACAGCTGCAGGTAACTGTCCTAGATCACCATGCTAACTGGAGCCTTAGGCAGAAACAAGATGGGAAGAGGGTACCTTTCGGATTTTGGACCCAGAAACTGCCAGAGGCTGGCAAAGCTTAATGCCCTGTGGAGAAGCAATTGTTAGTTTGCTATTGAATTTGGTGAAAATGTAACACCTCTGCCTCAACCCTGGTGTTTTGTGTTTGTTTGTTTTTGTTTTGTTGAGACAGGGTTTCGGAGTCGCCCAGGCTGGAGTGCAAACGTTTAATTGGAAATAAAGAGGTTTGGGAAAAACAATACTGGGAAGATAACTGAATTCTGGCGCACACTACCATGGCCGCTGTTTTCCACGTTAATGCTCATGCGTCTCTGCTTTCTCTTGAAAGACTCTTTCATCAGCAGGAAGATCAACAGACCAAATTTTCCACCATAACCGCAAATGTGAATGTGGATGAATGGCCTTAAATGATTTCTTTCTCCTATAGCAGTTTGAAATTACTTGAAATTTGTTTCAAATTGAAAAAAAATAAAAAGAATGTGGATAAAAATAAAAGATAAAAAGGCTAGAAAATGACAAAAAATTACAAAATATATATGTAAATCTTGAGGGTCAAAAATAAATTTATTTACAAGGTTTCATTAAGATTAGCTTTAGTATTGGTAATGCACTATTACCAAAGTAAAAGTTTTCTTTTGAACAAAAATTTTATATTAATGTCATAGTGAAATACTTCTGTTCCCCTATTGAATACATGCAAAACGAGGGAGTGAGTTAAAAAGAATTTTCCCTTGCTCTGGGGCGGGCTTCGCTCAGCTGAGGGAGGAAGCCCCGCCTGAAAATGCGGCAACTTAGGTTACTTTCTCCACTCGGTCCGGAGTCTGATCACATCTTGTCACTCAGGGCCTGAGGGGGCGGGGCCTTAAACAGTATCCAATCAGGGATGTTGGGCTGGGAACCGTTCAATCAGGCACGTAAGCTGGAGCCGAGAGGAAGGCTTCCGGGTTTGGCGCGGCCTTTGTCTCTTGCTGCCGCTGGAGCTCCGGGTCCCGTCTTCGCTGCTCTGTGACCTCTGCTCCGAGACACCCAGCCTCGTGGCCCTGTGACCTGCAGGTATTGGGAGATCCGCAGCTAAGACGCCGGGACCCCCTGGAAGCCTAGAAATGGTGAGAGTGCCGGTCCGACATCCCGAGAGAGAAGAGGGACGGGTTGGAACCGGTTGGAAGTGGCCGTGGCGGACTCAGGCTCCCGCGGTCCGCTCCACAATCTCCTCCCCGAATTCTCCTTGCCCAGCTCGGCCTCAGCCCCTTCAGCCATAAGATGGCGGCTGCGCTGACTGCGGGCCCGTAGTCCTCTCTCTTCCCTGCGCAGGGACCGTTTCCTGGCCTGGAAGCTCTCTGGGCAGCACTGCACCCAGCGCGGCATCTCTTTCGGATTGTGCAGGGATCACGGGAGCGTCCTCAGCAGAGAATCCTGACTCGGGGTGCGGGTTGATGAGTGGGAAGAGCTTTGGTCCGTGAGGTTCACAGCTTTGCTTTTCTCGATCCCGCCGGGAGCGGTGGCTCATAATCCCAGCACTTTGGGAGACGGAGGGGGCGGATTACTTGAGATCAGGACTTATTAGGTCAACTAAGTTTCTCTTCAAAGACTCAACTTCCTGGTCACAAGTTGTAAAAGTTGTAAATCAACCCTACCCCTTCTCCTTCCGCCTTCTCCATTTCTCGAAAAACCGCGCATTTACTCTATCTGGAAAAAGTTTGATTCTAAGCCAACCGAGATCAGCCTAGATTGTGCGGGCTGACCCCAGCCAGTGGAGAAGGACACAGAAACAGGAACTTTGTTACGGTTAAAAACCCTTTCCTGGGCCCGGCACTGTGGCTGTAACCTGTAGTCCCAGCACTTTGAGAGGCAGGCCCAGGCCGAGGCGGGGCGGGGGAGGGGAATGCAGTGAGCCCAGATCTGGCCACTGCACTCCAACCTGGCAGAAGAGTGAGACTCCCTCTCATAAAAACAAAGCAAAACAAAACACCCTTCCTGGGTGGGCACGGTGGCTGACACCTGTAATCCCAGCACTTTGGGAGACAGAGGCAGGCGGATCATGAGGTCAGGAGTTATAGGCTAGCCTGGCCAGCATGTTGAAACACCATCTCTACTAAAAATACAAAAATATAACCTCTGCCTTCCGGGTTCAAGTGATTCTCCTACTTCAGCCTTAGGAGTAGCTGGAATTACAGGCATGTGCCATTACACCCAGCTAATTTAGTGTTTTTGGTAGAGACGGGTTTCTCCATGTTGGTCAGGCTGGTCTGGAACTCCCGACCTCAGGCCCTGAATCAGGGTCTTTGTTGACTCTGGGTGTTGTCAGAATTCAAATGTTATACAATAAGTTGATGTTGGAGCATTGCTTGATGTTCAGCAAACCATACAGATTTGGTGCCAGAAAACATGTCAGGGAGACCTGACCTGGAATAAAACTCTTAAGTGTTTGGAAATGGATGGCTCTGCTCTCCTGTACACAGGCTGTCACACTACCCATTGTCCTGTGATTCCAGGTCTTCTCTCAGGGTGATAGAGTTCTGGAAACTTGAGGAAAGGACCTCTGAAAAAAAAAAAATAATAATAATAAAATGGGCCGGGCGCGATGGCTCACGGCTATAATCCCAGCACTTTGGGAGGCCGAGGCGGGTGGATCACGAGGTCAAGAGATCGAGACCATCCTGGTCAACATGGTGAAACCCCGTCTCTACTAAAAATACAAAAATTAGCTGGGCATGGTGGCATGTGCCTGTAGTCCTAGCTACTCGGGAGGCTGAGGCAGGAGAGTTGCTTGAACCCAGAAGGTGGAGGTTGCGGTGAGCCGAGATCGTGCCATTGCACTCCAGCCTGGGTAACAACAGCGAAACTCCATCTAAAAAATAGTAATAATAAAAAATAAAATGAAAGGAAAGGACCTGTGATGACAGACCCCCTTTTTTCGCAGCTGCCACCACAGGATTCCCACCCATTCACACACACACACAGTAGACATTGACGTGTCCACACTCCTCCCAAGACTAGGCACCACCCTCTGGAACTTTGATCCTAGTGGTTCTTGCTGAAAACCCAGAAGTGTCTACAAGTCTCCTGGCATATCCCCTCCCCCAGGCACTGAATCTGCAGCAGCAACCTGTGTTGTCCAAGCTGGGATTCTGGACCTCCTGCTCATAATCCTGTTTATAATCTCATCTGCCTGCGTGCACACAGAAATAAATCAGAGTACAGCCCCACCTGGGCCACTATCTGTGGGAAAAATGAATCCTTTCACCTGCACTGCAGTCTCTACCACCCAGGGATTTTTTTTTTTTCTATTAGCTTTTATTATAGGTTTGGGGTACACGTGGATTTGTTATACAGGAAAAATTATGTCATGGGGATCTTGTGTGCCGATTATTTTGACACCGAGGTTCTACCCATGGCACGAAACAGGTCTGTTTTCTCATCCCCTTGGTCCTCCCACCCTGCATCCTCAACTAGGCTTCAGTGTCTGTTGCTCCCTTTTGTGTTCATGTGTTTTGATTATTTAGCTGTTAGAAATAATAACGTGCATTTAGTTTGCTGTTTCTGCATTAGTTTTCTTGGCTTACTGCAACCTCTGTCTCTTGGGTTCAAGCAGTTGTCCTGCCTCGGCCTCTTGAGTAGCTGAAATTAACCACTCCTGGCTAATTTTGCATTTTTAGTAGAGATGGGGTTTCTCAGTGTTGGTCAAGCTGGTCTCAAATTCCCGACCTCAGATGATCCACCTGCCTCGGCCTCCAAAAGTGCTGGAATTATAGGCATCAGACACCACACCTGGGCTCTGCATTAGTTTTCTGAGGAAAATGGTCTCCAGCATCATTGATGTTATTGTAAAGGACGTGATTATGTTTTTTTATGACCACAGAATATTCCATGATGTTTATGGGCCATATATGTATTTTTTACTAATTCTTTTATTTTATTTTTGGAGATAGTGTCTCACTTACTGCCCCGACTAGAGTGTCGTGGCATGATATTGGCTTACTTTAGCCTCAGCCTCCCAGGCTCAAGCAGTTTCTCTACTTCATCCTCCCAAGTAGCTGGGAGCATTACTACACCTGGCCAGTTTTTTTTTTTTGTATTTTTTGTTGAGACTAGATATTGTCATGTTGCCCAGGCTGGTCTCAAAATTCTAAGCTCAGGCATTCCACTTACCTCAGCCTCCCAAAGTGCTAAAATCCCAGGCATGAGCCACCACATCTGACCATACCATATTTTCTTTATCCAGTCCACTGATAGGCATTTAGGGCCTGTCCACGTCTTTGCTACTGTGAATAGTGCTGTAATGAACATGCATGTGGATGTGTCTTTATAATGAAATAATGTCTATTTCTTTGGGTGTATACCCAATTATCAACTCCCTGGATCAAATGATAATTCTGTTTTTAGTTCCCTGAGGAATCGCTACACTTCTTTTTTTTTTTAACAAAAAGCCGTTGGCTTGGATTTTTATTTATTTATTTATTTTGAGACGGAGTTTTGCTCTTGTTGCCCAGGGTGGAGTGCAATGGCACGATGTCAGCTCACCGCAACCTCTGCCTCCCAGGTTCAAGCGATTCTCCTGCCTCAGCCTCCTGAGTAGCTGGAATGACAGGCATGTGTCACCATGTCTGATTAATTTTGTATTTTTAGTAGAGACGGGGTTTCTCCATATTGGGCGGGCTGGTCTGGAACTCCTGACCTCAGGGGATTCACCTGCCTCAGCCTGCCAAAGTGCTGGGATTACAGGCATGAGCCACACCACCCGGCATGCCACACTGCTTTTTTTTACAATTCTCGAACTAATTTATCAAACACCAACAGAGTATACGCATTCTTTTTTCTCTGCAACCTTGCCAGCATCTGTTATTTTTTGACTTTTTAAAAATAGCCATTCTAACTGGTGTGAGGTGGTATCTCATTGTGTTTTTTTATTTTTAATTTCTCCAATGATGAACGATGATCTTTTTTTTATATGCTTGTTAGCTACATTTATGTCTTCTTTTGAAAAGCATCTGTTCATATTTTTTGCCTTATGTCATGTTAAAAATTCCGCCCATGGCCACTTGGTAAAACTGTGTGTGTTTTTCAGAGACCATTGGAATTTATGGATGTGGCCGTAGAATTCTCCCTGGAGGAGTGGCATTGCTTGGACACTGCACAGCGGAATCTGTATAGGGATGTGATGTTGGAAAACTACAGAAACCTGGTCTTCCTTGGTGAGGATAACTTGAATACACAATACATAATATACCCTAAATGTTTTCGTTCTCTTTTTTTTATAGAATGTTTTTTAATAATTAATTCTTTGCATAAAAGAGTTTCAGAAGCCCTTTTTCTAAAATATATTCAGAATTTGTTCATTTAGAAAAGAATTTCTTTGGCTGGGCGCGGTGTCTCATGCCTGTAATCCAAGCACTTTGGAGGCCAAGGAGGGCGGATCACCTGAGGTCGGGAGTTCAAGACCAGCCTGACCAACATGGGGAAACCCTGTCTTAAAAAAATTAATTAATTAAAAAAAATAGAAAATATATATATATATATATTTTTTTTTGAGATGGAGTTTCGCTCTTGTTACCCAGGCTGGAGTGCAATGGCACGATCTTGGCTCACCGCAACCTCCACCTTCTGGGTTCAAGCAGTTCTCCTGCCTCAGCCTCCCGAGTAGCTGGGACTGCAGGCACGCACCACCATGCCCAGCTAATTTTTGTATTTTTAGTAGAGACGGAGTTTCACCTTGTTGACCAGGATGGTCTCGATCTCTTGACCTCGTGATCCACCCGCCTAGGCCTCCCCAAGTTCTGGGATTACAGGCATGAGCCACCACGCCCAGCCTAGAAAAGAATTTCTTTAAGACGTTTCATCTTAATCTAAACTTACCAAATTGTGGAGTTGAGGTGTATTCTTCAGTCTAAATTAGTGGTAATTCCAGCAATTAGGTGACATAAAATATTGTTGCCCCTACCTGAAAATCTAATTGCCACCACCAATTTTTGATTCAGTAGTACCAGGTAGTAAAATTGGAAAATCCACAAGCAGGGCTGGGCATGGTGGCTCACACCTGTAATCCCAGCACTTTGGGAGGCTGAGGCAGGCAGATCACCTGAGGTCAGGAGTTTGAAACCAGGCTGACCAACATGGTGAAACTTCATCTCTAACAAAAATACAGAATTAGCCAGGCATGGTGGTGCACACCTGTAATCCCAGGTACTCTGGAAGCTGAGGCAGGAGAATTGCTTGAACCCAGGAGGCAGAGGTTGTGGTGAGCCGAGATTGTGCCATTGCACTCCAGCCTGGGCAACAAGAGTGATACTTCCTCTCTAAAAAATAAAAAAAGACAACTACAAGTTCAAAGTATTTTCTAAATATTTAGAAATTTCTGTTATTAATTAGTATTAGTATTTTGGTATTAATTTACTAGAATATTTTATCACATCCTCTCTGAGCACATTACTAGCTTGTAAGTGGAGAACATGAGCCAGATTCATGTTATTTAATAAAACAGGTATTGCTGTCTCTGAGCCAGACCTGATCACCCGTCTGGAGAAAGGAAAAAAACCTTTGACTGTGAAGAGACATGAGATGATTGCGACACCCCCAGGTAGGTACAAGTGAAAATGAATACAACACAGGACACCCAATAAGAGGTCCCAAGGTCAAAGAGAAAGCCAGCCCTTAAAATGTGATGTGGGAAGCTGTGTGCCAAAGAAAACGCTTCTGGGCAGCTGATTTCTTTTTTTTTTTTTAATTTTGCTCTCACAAAGGGACATTTTCTGTCTAGGCTTTTAAGTTCTCTAAAGATTCTACTTTTCTTTTCATGAGCTTCCTTGAAGGTTACAGTGAGAACCAAAGTCCTCTTCATGGCATATAAGAAACTGCATAATCTGGCTGCTTTTTTATTGTTTTGGGGACACACAAATGTCTGCATGATTTTTAGAAACGAAAACTATTTTTTAAGTCTTCTTTTGCATCAAGACTGAAATGTGTGAGAGTAGTAGTTTCTGTAACATTCTTTTTGTTTATTATTCTGAACAGTTCATTGTGTTTTTATTGCCATATTGTTTGGAAACATACTTTGAAATTGTAAGTATGATATCCTTCTGCTTTGTAGTTTTTACTCAAGATTGCTTTAGCTAGTCAAAGTTGATTTTAGTTTCATGTAAATTTTAGAATTATATTTTTCATTTCTATGAAAAAATACCACTGTAGTTTTCACAGGAAGTTTATTGAATATATAGATCACTTTGAATAATACGGCAATTAAATAATATGTGTCTTTTTTTTTTTTTTTTTTTTACATAAGATGGGGTTTCACCATGATGGCCAGGCTGGTCTTGAACTCCTGACCACTGGTGAGCCACCCACCTCGGCCTCCCAAAGTGCTATGATTTCAAGTGTGAGCCACCATGCCCGGCCAATATGTATTCTTTCAGTGCATAGATACAAACTATTTTAAAATTGATTTGGACCTTCTCTAATTTTTTTCATTGATTAGTTATGTTGTAAAGGTTCTTTACCTCCTTGTCTAATTTTCTCCTCAGAAATTTATTATTTAATGCTATAGTAAATAAGATTTTTTTTTACATTTTTAATTTCTATTTTTTCTTTCTTCCTTTATTTGATCAGATAGTTTAAGTGTATGAAACCATACATATACTTGTATGTTAATTTCCTATATTGCTATTTGCTGAGTGTATTTATTATTTTAAATAGGTTTTAATATACTGTTTGTTTTTTTCATATATGATTATATGATCTAAAAACAGCAACTTTTTACTTATTTTTCTTCGGTTTCCATAGATCTTTTTATTTCTTTGAGTAATTAATCTGCCACATACTTAGAATAGAAGCATTGACAATGAGCACAATATAGTTTGTATTGGTGTCTGAATTTGATGGCGCAAGCACCTCTTCAAGTTTTTTTTTTTTTTTTTTTTTTTTTTTTTTTTTTTGAGGCGGAGTTTCGCTCTTGTTACCCAGCCTGGAGTGCAATGGCACGATCTCGGCTCACCGCAACCTCTGCCTCCTCGGTTCAGGCAATTCTCCTGCCTCAGCCTCCTGAGTAGCTGGGATTGCAGGCACACGCCACCATGCCCAGCTAATTTTTTGTATTTTGAGTGGAGACGGGGTTTCACCATATTGACCAGGATGGTCTCAATCTCTTGACCTCGTGATCCACCCGCCTCAGCCTCCCAAAGTGCTGGGATTACAGGCTTGAGCCACTGTGCCCAACCTAAGACTATTCTTAGCTTTTTAAGTTGGATTACTGAAGTTTCATTTTGTGTAACAACAGCGTATATGTAAAACGCAAAAAGTAACTTCTTTTTTTTAAAATGCTTATTAAGAGTTTCTCATTAGACTCCTGTATTTATAATTATATTGCATATTCTCTAAAATTTTACTGCCACACAGTGCATGCTAATCATTCGAAATACCTGTATTTGATGAGTTCACGCTAACAGTAAAATATTGCAGTTACCTACAAAATTTTTTTCCTTTTTTTTTTGAGACGGAGTCTCACTGTTGTTACCCAGACCGGAGTGCAATGACACGATCTCAGCTCACCACAACCTCTGCCTCCTGGGTTCAAGCAATTACCCTGCCTCAGCCTCCCGAGTAACTGGGACTACAGGTGCGCACCACCATGCCCAGCTAAGTTTTGTATTTTTAGTAGAGAACGGTGTTTCACCTTGTTGACCAGGATGATCTTGATCTCTTGACTTCGTGATCCAACCGCCTCGGCCTCCCAAAGTACTGGGATTATAGGCGTGAGCCACCGCGCCCGGCCCACAATTTCTGTTTTTGTTTTTTGAGATGGAGTCACCCTCTGTCACCCAGGCTGGAGTACAGTGGTGCCATATTGGCTCACTGCAACCTCCACCTCCTGGGTTCAAGCAGTTCTCATGCCTTAGTTCCCAAGTAGCTGGGATTACAGGTGTGTGCCACCATGCCTAATTTTTGTATTTTTAGTACAGATGGGGTTTTACCACATTGGCCAGGCTTGTCTTCAATGCCTGACCTCTGGTAATTTGCCCACCTTGGCCTCCCAAAGTGCTGGGATTACAGGTGTGAGCCATTGCACCTGGCCTAGGTGTAGGTTTCCTTGCCCCAGTTAATTGTGTCTGTTGGTTTTACTTGAGTGTTATATTTTTAGACAAGTTGCAATTCTGTTTGTATGTTTTAAGTCAATTTGAGATTTAATTAAGAGATAAATTATGTATATTTATCACAATCAGATTATATTTGTATGTGTGTTTATAAATATGCCCCCAATTTTGGACATGGCCTATCTTATATTCTTTCTTAGCTGATTTTTGATGGTAGTTTTATCTGGTCTAAGTGAGTAGTTATAGAGATAGTCTGATTTTCGCCATGTGTATAACTATGTTATGAATACATATTTTTAGTGAGAGAAACTTTGGTGATTTGAAGGTAATTTTCAAAAAAAAGTATAATCCTGGATTTATTTTAGTTTTTCTTTAAAAACATTGTTTATATACACATAACATAAAATGTACCATTTTAAATCTATTGAAGTGTACATTTCAGGGTGAGGTGTGATTGTGGCTTTTGTCTATAATACCAGGATTTTTTTGGGCCAAGACAGGAGGATTCCTGGAGCCCAAATGTTTAAGACCATCCTGGGCAACATATGGAGACCCCTCTCTATAAAAATATGTAATAATAACAAGGCATGGTGGTGTGCCACTGTGGCCCCAGCTACTTGGGAGATTAGTGGGGATTCAAAATTGTGCCACTATACTCCAGCTTTGGTGAGAGAGAGAGAGACCCTGTTTCAAAAAGAAAAAAAAAAAACTGTTCATTTCAGGCATGTTAAGTATATTCAAATTATTATGCAAAAGACTTCTGGAAACTTTACATCTTGGAAAACTAAAACTCAATACCCATTAAGTAACAACTGCTCATATTACCCTCTCCAGCCCTTGACAGACAAACCTTCCACTTTCTGTTTTTATAATTTTGGCTACTTAAGATATCTCATATAGGTGAAATGATACAGTATCCATAATTTTGTTACTGGATTAATTCAGGTGACATAATATTCTCAATCCTACAATGTAACAAGAGTGTTATTTTTAAGGTAGAACAATATTCCATTGTACATATATGGGACATATTTTGATATCTTTATAAATCAAGAGACATCTGGGTTGCTTCAGCCTTTTGGCTTTTGTGAATACTGATACAATAAGCATGGATCTTCGAATATGTCTTCTACATCCTGTGTTGCATTCTTTTTTGTTTTCTGAGATGGAGTCTCCCTTTGTCACCCAGGCTGGAATCTCAGCTCACTGCAGCATCTATCTCCTGGGTTCAAGCGATTCTCCTGCTTCAGCCTCCCAAGTAGCTGGGATTACAGGCTCCCACCACCACACCCAGCTAACTTTCTGTATTGTTTTATTTATTTATTTATTTTTTGAGTCGGAGTTTCGCTCTTGTTACCCAGGCTGGAGTGCAATGGTGTGATCTCGGCTCACCGCAACCTCCGCACCTCCTGGGTTCAGGTAATTCTCCTGCCTCAGCCTCCCAAGTAGCTGGGATTATAGGCACGCGCCACCATGCCCAGCTAATTTTTTGTATTTCTAGTTGAGACGGGGTTTCACCATGTTGACCAGGATGGTCTCGATCTCTTGACCTCGTGATCCACCCGCCTCGGCCTCCCAAAGTGCTGGAATTACAGGCGTGAGCCACCGCACCCGGCCTACTTTCTGTATTTTTAGTAGAGACGGGGTTTCATCATGTTGGCCAGGTTGGTCTCAAGCTCCTGACCTCAGGTGATCTGCCCACCTTGGCCTTCACATGTCTAGGATCACAGGCTTGAGTCACTCCACTGGCCTGTGTTACACATTTTGGATATATGTATACAAATGAAGAACATTGACAACATTTTGAAATAACAGCTGCACCTGTGTTTTCCACCAGCAGTCCACATGACTTCCATGTTTATTGTATCATCTTTGGTGTTTTTAAAAAGATTTGTAGTGGCCATTCTAATGGGTGTGAGGTGATTTTGTTTGTGATTGTGGGTTGTTTTTTTTTTTTTTTCCTCTACAAATTAGTAACTTTATGTGATTTTTTTCAAATGGCATCTCACTTTGTCACCCAGGGTGGAGTGCAGTCGCATGATCTCAGCTCACTGCAACCTCCACCTCCTGAGTTCAAGTGATTCTCCTACCTCAGCCTCCTGGGTAGCTGGGACAACAGGCGCCCGCCACCATACCCAGATAATTTTTGTATTTTTAGTAGAGACGGGGTTTCACCATGTTGCCCAGGATGGTCTTGATCCCTTGACTTCGTGATCTCCCCACCTCGGCGTCTTAAAATGCTGGGATTACAGGTGTGAGCCACCATACCAGGCACCTTTTTTCTTTTAAGAATATTTTCTGGGTTTTTTTTTTTTTTTTTTGTATTTTTTTATCTCCACTATTTATTTAATAATTTATTTTTGTATCTGAGGTGGAGACTTTTTCTGTTGCCCTGCCTGGAGTGCAGTGGTGCAATCTCGGCTCACTGCAACCTCTGCCTCCTGGTTTAAGTGATTCTCCTCCCTAAGCCTCGTGAGTAGCTGGGATTACAGGTGCCTGCCACTGCCCCTCGCTACTATTTTTGTACTTTTTGGTAGAGATGGGATTTCATTGTTGGCCAGCTGATCTTGAACTGCTGACCTGAAATGATCCACTTGGTCTCCCAAAGTGCTGGGATTACAAGCATGAGCCACAGTTCCTAGCCTATTTTATTTTATTTTTGAGACACTCTTGTTCTGTTGCCCAGGCTGAAGTGCAGTGGTACAGTCTCCACTCACTACAGTCTTCCCGTCCCAGGTTCAAGCAATTCAGGTGTTTGAACCTCCCAAGTAGCTGGGATTACAGCCTCATGTCACCACACCCAGCTAATTTTTGTATTGCTAGTAGATACAGGGTTTCACCATGTTGTCAGGCTGGTCTCAAACTCCTGACCGCATGTGATTTTTCCACCTTGGCCTCCCAGTGTTGGAATTACAGGAATGAGCCACCAAGCCTGGCCTGTTCCGTTTATTCCTAAATTTTTAATTGCTTTATATACTTTTTATGATTGCTTTTGAAAATTGTATCATTCTCTTCATATCATGGGAGACATTGAGTGTCTAAAAAAGTCCCTAAAAACCAGAAACAAAGATGTGCCAATGTTTCTTGTGTGTGTTTTTTTTTTTAAAGAAACCAGTAGTTGGCAATTAACATTTGTGTGTGTGTGTGTGACAGAGTCTCACTCTGTTACCTAGGCTGGAGTGCAGTGGCATGATCGAGGCTCACTACAATCTCTGCCTCCACAGTTCAAGCAATTCTTCTGCCTCAGCCTCCCAACTAGGTAGGATTACAGGTACTTGTTACCATGTCTGCTAATGTTTTGTATTTTTTGTAGAGATAGGGTTTCACCATGTTGGTCGGGCTTGTCTTAAACTCCAGTGTTGTTCATCCAATGTGCTGGGATTACAGGCATGAGCCATCATGTGTGGCTGGCAATGTACTTTTTTATTTTTTAAGACAGAGTCTCACTCTGTCCCCCAGGCTGGAGTGCAGTGGCGCAATCTCAGCTCATTGCAACCTGTGCCTCCTAGGCTCAAGCAATTCTCTGCCTCAGCCTCCGGAGTAGCTGGAATCACAGGTGCTCACAACAACACCTCAGTAATTTTTTGTATTTTTAGTAGAGACGAGGTTTCACCATCTTGGCCAGGTTGCTCTTCAACTCCTGACCTCAGGAGCCATGCACGTCAGACTCCCAAAGTGCTGGGACTGCAGGAATGAGCCACCCCACCCAGCCACAATTTACTTTTAAAGGCACGATATTATGTGGGAGAGGAAGAAGAGCTGTGTTGGGTATAAGAAACAGACTTTTCTTTTTCTTCTGTGTGGCTCTTTGTGCTCACCTGGGGCCGTTCACACACTTATCACATTTATAAATTTTTTACAAATGTATTTCGGTCAGTATGTTTTTGTTACATTTATATGTCCAGGAAAAAATTTCAGCTTGTGGTATTTTGCTATGTCATCTTGCTTAAGCAGTTTGTATAATTATACATTACATTTGTAAAGTGTACTTAATCTGAGTCTAGCAATTGAAGTCACATGTTTTTATTGTTTCTTTCAGTTATGCGTTCTCATTTTGCCAAAGACCTTTGGCCAGAGCAGAGCACAAAAGATTCTTTCCAAAAAGTGGTACTGAGAAGATATGATAAATATAGACATGACAATTTACAGATAAAAAATGGCTGTGAAAGTGTGGATGAGGCTAAGATGCACGACAGAGTTTATAATGGACTTAACCAAAGTTTGACAAGTACCCAGAGTAAAATATTTCAATGTGATAAATATGTGAAAGTCTTTCATGAATTTTCAAATTCAAACAGACAAAAGGTAAGACATACTGGGGAAAAAAATTTCAAATATATAGAACGTGGCAAGGGTATTAACCAGTCCTTAACCCTTACTACACATAAGAAAGTTTATACTGGAATGAAACCCTACAAATGTGAAGAATGTGGTAAAGCCTTCAGCTGGTCCTCACATCTTAATATACATAAGATAATTCATACTGGAGAGAAACCCTACAAATGTGAAGAATGTGGCAAAGCTTTCTACCGATCCTCAAACCTTAATACACATAAGATAATTCATACTGGAGAAAAGCCTTACAAATGTGAAGAATGTGGCAAGGCCTTTAAGCACTCCTCTAGCCTTAATACACATAAGATAATTCATTCTGGAGAGAAACCCTACAAATGTAAAGAATGTGGCAAAACCTTTAAGCACTCCTCTAGCCTTAGTACCCATAAGATAATTCATACTGGAGAGAAACCCTACAAATGTGAAGAATGTGGCACAGCCTTTAGGCAGTCCTCAAACCTTACTATTCATAAGAGAATTCATACCGGAGAGAACCCCTATAAATGTGAAGAATGTGGCAAAGCCTTTAGGCAGTCCTCAAACCTTACTACACATAAGAAAATTCACACTGGTGAGAAACCTTATAAATGTGAAGAATGTGGCAAAGCCTTTAAGAACTTATCACACCTTACTACACATAAGATGATTCACACTGGAGAAAAACCCTACAAATGTGAAGAATGTGGCAAAGCCTTTAAGCGCTCCTCTCAACTTACTACACATAAGAGAATTCATGTTGGAGAGAAACCCTACATAGTGAAGAATGTGGAAAATCTTATAAATGTTCCTCAACCCTTAAAAATCAATCATAAGATAATTCATACTGGAGGAGAAACCCCATAAATGTGATGAATGAGGAATAGCCTTTAACCAGCCCTCAACTCTTACTAAATATGAGAATTTACGTGAAACATAAACCTTACAAATATAAAGAATGTGACAAGTTTTTTAAGTAGGTTCTCAACATGTATTACATATAATTCATACTGGACAGAAACCCTACAAGTGTGAAGAATGTGGCAAACAAGTTGTCAGTTCTTATCTTCTTTTTTTTTGAAATGGAGTTTCACTTTTGTCACAGAGGCTGGAGTGCAATGGCACAATGTTGGTTCATTGCAACCTCTGTCTCCTTGGTTCAAGCCATTCTCCTGCCTCAGCCTCTCCAGTAGCTGGGATTACAGGTGCCCACAACCATGCCCAGCTAATTTGTGTACTTATGATAGAGATGCTGTTTTGCCATATTTCCAGACTGGTCTCAAACTCCTGACCTCAGATAATCCAGCACCTCAGCCTCCTAAAGTGCTGGGATTACAGGCATGAGCCACCACACTTGGCCACAAGTTTTCAATTCTTAAGAGACGTGTTGGAATTCACTCAAAGTGGTGGCAGAGATATTAAGGGAAAATATTAGAAATAGTTACAGTGAGATGTTTGCATAGTTTCAGTACAAGTTTTGGCTGGAGGCAGCCAGAACCCCCTTTATGTTTAGTGAATAAGGAAAGCAAATAGCTGGGCCGGGCGTGGTGGCTCAAGCCTGTAATCTCAACACTGTGGGATGCCGAGGCAGGTGGATCACGAGGTCAAGAGATCGAGGCCATCCTGGCCAACATGGTGAAACCCCGTCTCTATTAAAAATACAAAAATGAGCTGGGCATGGTGGTGCGCACCTGTAATCCCAGCTACTCAGGAGGCTGAGGCAGGAGAATTGCTTGAAGCCAGGAGGCGGAGGTTGCAGTGAGCCGAGATGGGGACAGGGGGAGACTCTCTCAAAAAAGAAAGAAAAGAAAAAAAGGAAATAGCTAGGGAATAGGGAGTTCATCTGAATACTTTGTTTACTCAATAACCTGTAATCACTCTGGGTGTCCTTCTGAAAGAGGGGAGGTCGACCAGGGAGATTACCCGTTAATGGTGTTTACTCGGCATTGGTAACTGCTTTAATCATTCATAAAACCTTTCTTGTAACGATGTTAATTATCCACAAGCGTGTTGACTTGGAATCTGTTATTAAATCTATACTGAATAAATGTGAGAAGGAACAACCGGTGGTTGTCATTGAGATGCGATTGCTCATTTTCTCTCTGTGTGAGCAGCTCACAATCCCTCAGCTCAACTCATACACTATTCTGTGAGTGTATTTATCTGTTGCTGAGTCAGGGTCTGCAGGACAGACCCCCGCAGTGTGTTGACTCCGATGTGACAATGGTGATAATTCATGCTGAAGAGGAACTCTGCAAACCTTAAAGATGTGACAGTGCTTTTGTCAACACCTCCAACTTTTCTATACATTCAAAAAATTATAGGCTTGGCACAGTGGCTCATGCTTGTAATCGCAGCACATTGGGAGGCTGAGGCGGGTGGATCACAAGGTCAGGAGATCGAGACCAACCTGGTCAACATGGTGAAACCCCTTGTCTACCAAAAATGCAAAAAGTAGCTGGACGTAGTGGTGCATGCCTGTAATCTCAGCTACTGGGGAGGCTGAGGCAGGAGAATCGCTTGCACCAGGGAATCGGGGGGTGCAGTGAGCCAAATCATGCACTCCAGCCTGGTGACAGAGGGAGACTCCATCTCAAAACAAAGTTGTAGGGAACTCTAGAAATGTATAAAACGTGACAAAGCCTTTATGGTTACCACACTTGATTTTAGGTAAGATAATTCACACTGGCAAAACTACAAATGTCAAGAATGTGGCAAAACTTAATCCATGCTTACACCTTATTTCACAGGAAGGCTATTATCCTTGAGAAGAATTGTACAAATATAAATAATGGAAAAGCTATTAAGGCCTACTCACATCTTAACATAAGGTTCATAGTTGATAAAAGCATTGAAAATGCAATTGTCGATAAAAGCATTGAAAGTGCAATTATTGTCAAAAAATCTTTCTGAAAATAAAAGCCTTTAATGTTAAGAGTATTTTTTTTGTAAAGGAAATGGGAAGGCTGGCACTGATTGCCCAGCCCCAAGCACCCGCCGGAAAAAGCATTCTTAGGAACCATTATAAATATAAAGAGGGAGGGCTGGGCGCGGTGGCTCACGCCTGTAATCCCAGCACTTTGGAAGGCCGAGGTGGGTGGATCACGAGGTCAAGAGATCGAGACCATCCTGGTCAACAAGGTGAAACCCCGTCTCTACTGAAAATACAAAAAATTAGCTGGGCATGGTGGCGCATGCCTGTAGTCCCAGCTACTCAGGAGGCTGAGGGAGAATTGCCTGAACCCAGGAGGCGGAGGTTGCGGTGAGCCAAGATCGCCCCATTGCACTCCAGCCTGGGTAACGAGCAAAACTCGGTCTCAAAAAAAAATTTTTTTTTTTTAAAAAGGGATGGCTGCCAAATTAAATGTGATCGTTTATGCACATCAGCTGTGAAAAGATTATTGATAATGAAAAATAAGATGCACCATGGCTCACGCCTGTATTTCCAACACTTTGGGAGGCTTAAGTGGGCAGATTGTTAGGTCAAGACCATCCTGGTGAGCATGATGAAACCCCATCTCTACTAAAAGTAAAAAATAATCAGCTGGTTTTAATTTTTGTATTTTTAGCAGACACAGCGTTTTACCACGTTGTCCAGGCTGGTCTTGGACCTCTGGACTGAGGTGATCCGTGTGCCCTGGCCTTCCAAAGTGCTTGTAATACAAGCGTGAGCCATCATGTCTGGCCTAAAATAAAATATTTCATAATCAAACTTAAGTGTATGTCCCTCCCTCAGGCTTCTGAACTTTGAGCTACCCTCAGTCCGAGTCAACTTACGACCCCAATTTGTGTTTCTCCTGAAAGCATGCCGACTTCAGTTACAACATTCTCTGATCTAAAATCTGACTTTTTCACCTGCCATGTCATTCTCCCCTCATATCCTTTTCCTTTCTAATCTTGTTTGTTCCTCCCTAGAAGAGAAAGCTGTTTTTCTGCCTACATTTTTGCAAGCCATAAAGATCTTATAGTTAGTTGGTACTTCCTCATGTTGCAATACGTTTTAGGAATTCTTTTTTTTTTTTTTTTTGAGACGGAGTTTCGCTCTTGTTACCCAGGCTGGAGTGCAATGGCACGATCTCGGCTCACCCCAACGTCCGCCTTCTGGGTTCAAGCAATTCTCCTGCCTCAGCCTCCCGAGTAGCTGGGACTACAGGCGTGCACCACCATGCCCAGCTAATTTTTGTATTTTTAGTAGAGACGGGGTTTCACCATGTTGACCACGACGGTCTCGATCTCTTGACCTCATGATCCACCCGCCTCGGCCTCCCAAAGTGCTGGGATTACAGGCGTGAGCCACCACGCCAAGCCAAGGCACAGATACTTTTTATAATACAGTGTGAGGGGATTATTCTTTGTTTCTCATGGGAAATATTTACAAACAGAAAACATTTTTCAATAGTGTTATGCCATCCTTTTTATAAAATGATTAATTGAGGAACAGGGGGTTCACCTGAGGCCCTGCTTAGGACACATGTGAAAAATGCCAGGGAAAATGAGTCCCCTGTGGAGTTCGAAAATAAGTAAATGGCAGTAAATTAGACTGAGGAGGCTCTAGGCCCCAGATTCCTACTTCTAAAAAAACAAAAAAACAAAAGTAAACTCAAGTGCATCTTTTGGTAAATTACTACATTAGAGGAAACAAAATTCAGGCTTAAACAACTGCCAATTAAGCTCTGATGACATAACCAGGCCATTTCCACCTTGATTGTACTAATTAAGAAACTGTGACTACACCAGCCCATTATGGAATTTGGTTTTCTTCATCATGTACCTTATAAATGTCTTTTCTTCGAGTCCCTCCTATGGACAACCACTACAAACTAGCTGGGTGCTCTGCAATTCTTGAATCACTCTGATTAATTTGTTTGATATTTTTATGGTGACTCCCATAATTTTTTTTTTTTTATGTAAACTGCTTTCACTCAGCCAAGCCTGAAAGTACTTACAGAACCAGGAGGAAAGCATCTATACTGATTCTATGTACACTTTTGGGGTGGCATGTACATTTGAAAAACTTTCGACTGAACATATTATTATTACTTTTTGAGATAGAGTTTCACTCGTTACCCAGGCTGGAGTGAAATGATGCAATCTTGGCTCACTGCAACCTCTGCTTCCCAGGTTCAAGCGATTCTCCTGCCTCAGCCTCCCAAGTAGCTGGGATTACAGGCAAGCAACACCACACCCAGCTATTTTTTTTTTTTTTTAATAGAGACAGGGTTTCACCATGTTGTTCAGGCTGGTCTCAAACTCCTGACCTCAGGTGATCCACCCATCTCCGCCTCCCAAAGTGCTGGAATCACAGGCATGAGGCAGCGCACCCAGCCAGACATCTTATTAATAGTAGCAAAGGTCAAGACCTTGTTCACAAGGAGTTAATCACCCAAGTATTATATAATCTTCAGTTGGCAGAATAAATAGCTGTTGTCCATGTCCCTAGGCACCAAAAAGGCTTTTGAGAGTTGGGGAAATAACCTAACAGATGAGATAGTCAAACAGGCTGCTTCTTCATCTAAAATGCCTATTTTTTTTTTTTTTTTTTTTGAGACAGCGTTTCGCTCTTGTCACCCAGGCTGGAATGCAATGGTGTGATCTCGGCTCACCGCAACCTCCGCCTCCTGGGTTCAGGCAATTCTCCTGCCTCAGCCTCCTGAGTAGCTGGGATTACAGGCACGTGCCACTATGCTCAGCTAATTTTTTGTATTTTTAGTAGAGACCATGTTGTTTCACCATGTTGGCCAGGATGGTCTCGATCTCTTGACCTCGTGATCCACCTGCCTTGGCCTCCCAAAGTGCCAGGATTACAGGCGTGAGCGACCACGCCCGGCCTAAAATACCTATTTTTTACTTAACTCCTTGTCTTCCTCACTGTTACAATCCCTATTTTCTCTAATGTAGAGAAAGATAAATTAATAAGAATAGGAGCCAAAGAAAACGAAAATAAAATAGGTGTTACCAGATCAAAGAGAAATGCTAAGCAAACCCCTCCTGAGGGAAGCCCTGTCCCACCTGCATCAAGGGACTCATCGGGGACCCCAGGCCCTGTGTAATGCAGTCCTCAGAGTTTATCGATTCATAGGAATTTATACCTTAACCAAACAGGTTACAGACAGTTACCTAATATGCAAGAAAACTAATAAATAAACTGTAAAGAAATTATCTCTTGGGAGAAGAAATCCAGACGTAAGGCCATTCCCAAGTATCCAAATTGTTTACACAAAGATGCCTCCAATAAGCCATCTAAAATGCTCACTAGTAATAGTAGGTCACCTCACTCAATGGGTCAAAGCTATTCCCTTTCCAAATACAACAGCCAATAATGTAGTTAAGACATCAATTAAAAATATAAAGGCCGGGCGTGGTGGCTCACGCCTCGCCTATAATCCCAGCACTTTGGGAGGCAGAGGCGGGTGGACACGAGGTCAAGAGATCGAAACCATCCTGGTCAACATGGTGAAACCCCGTCTCTACTAAAAATACAAAAAATTAGCTGGGCATGGTGGCGTGTGCCTGTAATCCCAGATACTTAGGAGGCTGAGGCAGGAGAATTGCCTGAACCCAGGAGGCGGAAGTTGCGGTGAGCCGAGATCGCGCCATTGCACTCCAGCCTGGGTAAAAAGAGTGAAATTCGGTCTCATAAAAGAAAAAAAATATATATATATCCCAGGTTTGGGCTAATACAAAATATTAATTCAGACAACAGAACCCATTTCACCACATAAATCATTAAAAAGCTATCCCAAACACTAGACTTTAGATGGGAATATTTTACTCCTTGGCACCTGCCTTCATCAAGAAAAATAAAAAGAATAAATCACACCCTAAAGAACCACCTAACCAAGTTAGCTTTAGAGACTCAGTTACCATGGACCAAATAGTTTTCTATTCTGTTAAAATTATCTGACCTGCCCCTCAAAAAAATATTGGTCTTTCCCATTATAAAATGCTCTATGAAATGCCTTATTTAGACTCCACTTCTAGCATTCTCAACATTTAAAACAAAAAAATCCATTTCTTTTTTTTTAATTGAATTTTAGGTTTTGGGGTACATGTGAAGAACATG